CCCCCAAAACCCCAAAACCCCAAAACCCCTCAAGGAAGCCAATTTTTGAAGCTTTTGATAATCACTTTATATTTTTAAGCGAGGGATTTTGTCCAATGACACAAGGTTCTTGCTACTGCTTTTGTTCTTGTAGAGACAATTCTCTGACCGCTTCATGTTCCTTGTGCTGCTAGCGACAAAGCCTCTCTTTCGGCCATCATTTGTGTGGATGTTACTGTAGGTTTCAGATACTCGAGTTGAGTCTTTCATGCTGCTCGTTCCAAAAGTTCTCCGAGTTTTTGAGTTAAATAACTTCTCAGGGTTAAGATAAAGACCTCTCTTACCAGTCTTTCTGCGAGAATTTGTTACTTTAGGGCTTGAGATGAGTTGTTTTGGGTACTTAAGAGGTTCTTTTATTGGCTTAAGAGCCTTAGGATGCCTCTTTTTATCCCAAAAGGTAGCATATCTTTGAAAATCCTCTTGGAATAGCTCCTTAGTGCTTTTGATCAACTTGTTCTTTGGGGGAACCGATCTAACTTTGAATCTCGGTCCTTTAATTGTGGCAACAATACTAGCTCTCTCTGGCTGAGCAAAGGAGGTATACACATCATGCTTTCTTGCAGAGTCCGGATCAATGCAGACCTTGAGGTGCCGAATCTTCGAGTTACCATTCCTCGACCTTCCGATACTAACTGAACTTCTAGGGTCTTTCTGGATTATTCAGTTAGTATAGTTACTAGAGTAGGCATTTTGTCTAGACCTCCTTTTCCGGATGTGATCTTTTTGACAAATTGATGAATTTACGCCCGTGACTTCTTTTCCATATATCCTTCGGACCTGTTGAATGGTATTTTTATAATTTCTTGGCTTTAAATTGACTTCTAGTTTGCCTTTTCAGGTGAGACTTCCTTCAGCTTTGCGCTCAATGCCAAGGACGGATTTAGTGTCCATGGTTCAAATGCTTCTTTTGTACTTGTTGTTGCTCATCTGCCTTCTGTATTGGCTATTTTGGTTATGTATTTTTGAATGCAAACATGCACCTTTATTGTAGAAATCATAGCTGTATCCAATCTTATGGGACGACTATGGATTATCTCAGTCGCTTACCTGGTTTCGATGGTGAGTAGATAACTTTTTAGGCATTCTGAGCTTGAGAGTGTCCATAATTTCTTTCATTTTCTCTTTGTTTGCGTCTAGCTTCAACTTACCCGCTTCCTTGCTATGTGACTTCCGAGTGAAAGACACTTTAGGGACTTCCAAAGAGCTTTTGAGAATCGTTAAATTGTTGTATTTTTGAGTCTTCTTCTTGCTAAATTTTAGATAAGACTTCAGCAGCAATACACGAATGATCGAATAAGATCGTCACCTCAGATAATCAAGAAATGAAAGGCGCCATCCTTGAAAGGTGATAAGCAAGGAGCCTACTAGCTTTGTGATCCTTGATGGCTAATTTTAGGCATTAGTTACTCACATTTTATGCTTATATCTACCCTGTTTATTGGCAGAGGTTCCTCCAATAATAATGAAGTTATTTTAGCTCCCTTGAATTGGAGAATTCGTTGTATAGATCGAAGTAAGAAGTGCTAAATGTAAACTAATTGGAATACTCGATAGGCTTGCAGAAGTCAATGCTCATACTTCTCTGACCAATTGGTTTTCCTTTCCTATATCTCTAGTAATGTATGCTTGAGTAAGCAGTATTCAGAATTTTGGGCTTACCCTTTAAGATGGCTGAATAGACCAGAGTCAAACAGCTCCTTTTCGAACAAGTATTTCATAATAAAATATAATTCAATAATCAAATTTATTTTGGGGTTTTGGGGTTTTGGGGTTTTGGGGTTTTGGGGTTTTGGGG